AGATCTGACTGGTACAGGAGGAGATTGTTATTCCTTCTCCAGCAAAGCATCTGGTGGATTTGAACTGTGCATTTCTGAGATTGCAGTTGCAGCTTCTTGCCACTAGGCCACCAGATGTTTCGTTTTTTGTAAAAAAAAAAAATACTACAAAGCAGTTAATTCACTGGAGAATTAGGTCCCTATGGACAAGATCTCTGAGGAGCAGGGCTCTATTTCCAATTAGGATACCTCAGGGAGACTGAGTGCTATTCTTGGGCTGAGACTGTATACACAGCCTATTTCTTGGAATGATCTTTTCAAAGTGGTCAGCTCCTTTAAACCAATAGCTCTCTCAAGCCAAAGGCTGAGAGCCACTATTATTTATTTTTTAGATTTATTCTGCCTTAGCACCAGAAGACATTCTGAAGGCCTAGTGGCTAAAGGGTTGCATTGCCAACCTAAAGGCAGATATTTCCACCAGCTGCTCCGTGGTAAAAAGATGGGCAATCTCCCGTGTGGTGTACAGCCTCTGAAAGTTCTTCCTTGACAGTGAGTGAGAGAGTGTTTGTATGTGTGTAGCACATAGGGTAGGAATTACAGGGAACCCATTATTATTATTTCTTCTAACATTAAACAGTTCATCATTAATATTTTGTCCTTGTATTTCTCTTATTTCATCCTAATATTACAGTGAGGCTTCTTGTTATTAGGTTGCTTATTCTGGTCACCATAAGTGAATAGGCCATGGAAAGGGTGGGACAGTTGTTCCTTTTAATCTTTTCATTAACTTAGAGACTTTAGGCTGTCTATAATATAGTATTATGCAAGTACTAATAAAAGGAAGGGGAAAAAATAAACTGTAAAAAAGAAACTATGAATTGTTTGAAGAGTCCGAATACCTCTTCTTTATAAAGAAAACAGCATATGACAACATGTTATCATCTGTCACTGTCACCTGACATCTGACTTAAAATTCTCTATTTGAAACCTAGCAAATGATAAAGGCATCTTAGTATATACTTGAGAAAGGAAGTGTATTTAGAAACTTGGTATCTTTGTTGCTATAAAAACAGATCTGAACTCTGAACTATTCTGTGCCCCCGTCATCATCTCTGACACACTTGAGTCCATGGCTGTGTCACCGTGTCAATCCATCTCATCTTTTGACCCTTCACCTTTCCAAGACTAATGGCCCTTTCCGAGGAATAATGTTCCCCGGAAACATGCTCAAAAGAGTATGAGACAAAGTTTAGCTATCCCTGCTTCTAAGGAGCATTCTGGCTGTAATTTCTCTAACACATGTCTAATCTTTTGGAAGTCCATGAATAGTCGTACAGTACTCTTCTCCAGGCCTACAACTCAAAGGCATCAATTCTTCTTCTGCCATCCTCCTTATTCACTGTTATGCCATCCTTATTCCTTGGTATCCTTAGGAAGTATACAATGGTATCAGTACCAAAAAGTGAACTTAAAAATGTATTCCTTTATTATATTAATAAGTACAGCATTACGGTGTAAAACAACTAGATCCATTATTTGAAATCCTCTGTTTTGTTCACAAGAAGACCTGATGGTACGAGGGATAAGCACTCAGCTGTTCTCTGAAAGGTCAGCAGTTTAAACGCACAGCAGCTGCTGTAGAGAAAGACCTCGGGATCCGCTCCATAAAGTCTACAGCTTGAAAACACAATGAGGAAATTCCAGTCCTACAGGGTCACAATAAGTAGTAATCAATTGGGTGGTGATGTTTTCTATTTGTCATTGACTGGATTTTTTAGCGGTTTTTTTTCTTTTTCATATGGTTCACATCTGGCATAGACTAATTATAAATTTGTTTGCATAGTAGCTACCGTAGTTGGAACAATCTGGCTTCTTTTGTATGTATGTATGAAACATATTATGAAAATCCAGTATTATTATTTAGAAATTAAACCAAAATGACAGATTTTCTTTTAGACTCTTTTAACAAATGATCTTTAATAATGATCTTAATAAATGATCTTTATTTCAGAAAAGAGGAATTCAAATATCTATTTTAAAGTTTCAAGTGGACAATAAATTATATTTTTTAAATCTTTACATAAAAATGCTAATACTATCATCCATAAATTAT